AGCGAGCGTGTTGCTCGTAGTAACGCACATTGATCTTGCCGGGGAGAGCGAGGTGACGGATCAGTGTGAGGAGGTGAAGGCATGCGTGGAAGAGGAGCTGAAGAAGATGGCGGAGGAAGACGATGAGAACATCCTGCCGTTACATGTCATCAATGTAGGCGAGAGCTTCCGGGTGAACTGTCTTGAGGGACAGGGAGTGAAGGAGCTGCGGCGATCTGTGTGTAAGACTGCAAAAGAGCTGCTGTGGTGGGAGGAAAGAATCCCTGGACTTATCTGAGACTGAGAGAGGCTGTGGAGAAGCGAAAGTCGGGGTCTGTCTCGTACGTCAAGGTAGAGGAGTACAAGGAGATGTTGAGAGAGTCAGGGGTCAGCGAGAAAGAGCACAAGGTGGTGACAAGCTTCTTGCACGACATGGGCGTGCTCAAGTACTTCGGTCATGCGCTGAGTGCGGATGAAAGCAAGAAAGACCAAGGCAAGTACTCCGTCGAGGACACGGTCTTCATCGATCCCGTGTGGATGATCGACGTGTTCAAGGGCGTGATGCGACATGACTGGGAGCACCTGCTCGACTGCTTCCAGCAGGACCCGACCAAGTCCAAGAAGTCGAAGAAGCTGCTACACCTGGGTATCATAGACGAGGACATGTTGGAGTACTTGTGGCCCCAGCAAGGCAGCAAGTTCTGGCTCGAAGAGAAGACAGAGAAGGTGTCAAGATCAGCAGAGGTAGGCTTCATCAAGAGCCATGTGGAGGTGCAGGAGGCGGTGGCTCTGCTGCGAGGCTGCGATCTGGCGCACTTCCTCGGCGTGGGGATGAAGGACTTGAAGGATACAGACAACAAGAGCAAAGAGCTGCTGTGTCCCGGCATCATCCCGTCGTTCACGCATGAGCACAAGCGAGCAGTGACGGACAAGGACAAGCAGTCTCTGTGCGCATCTGTCGAGTGCGAGTACAACATCTTCCCCGCAGGCTTCATCGACAGGCTGGTCGTGCTGTGCGCTGCTCGACACTTTGAGGTAGACTGCAGCGGCTCTATGGCGGTGATGAAGGGCTGGGGCCGAACGCTGCTGGTGAGCTGGCGGGAAGACAATGACAAGCACGTGCTGAGAGCTGATGCGTCGACGAGGGAGCAGATCGAGAACTTGCTTGATGACTTGAGGCGACTGGAGGCGTTCTTCCCGGGGATGAAGCGAAGGAGAAGCGACAAGGAGAGCTCAGGCAAAGAGGCCGTGCAAATAGGGATCTTCACGCAAGGAGAGAGGTCAAGAGCATGTGGGCGGGATATTGAAAGAAAAGTGAAGGAGCTTTACGAGGCGGAGAACCTCCCTCTAGGTCTTACTTGTCAGATTCATCCGTGTGACGAACGTGGAGGTGCTGGTGATGAATGTCTCGTGAACATCTTGTGTATATCGACAGAGTGTGTTGATGAGCAGGGAGCTATGCAAGGAGAAAGTAGCTTCAGCAAGCTATGGAACAGATTGACAGCGAGCAAAGCAGTTATCATCCCCGTCGTATTGACAGACTAGTACAACAAGCAGATCCAGCAGAAGAACAGGTTCAACAATTGGTGGCCGCAGAAGATACAAGGGATGGAGTGATACAAGATCTTCCATCAGTACACGAAGAATGATAAAGTCTCGATGCAAACGTTGTACGACGGCATCATCAAGAAGCTTCATCAGGGACGAGGAAGCTTCGAAGACTTGTACGAGGTCACCAGTCAGAACGAGCTTCTGTGCGAAGCTTGCTTGTATGACACGTCTGAGTCTCAACATACCTCGCAAGGCGATCGACCCGTGGGCAGGATCAACGCTGAATC